TGAGTATACACCGAAGAATTTGTTTCTAGAGTAAAATATTAGTTTTACAAACTAATTTTATTTTTATTACAGTGTGGATTCATAGTCTTGAATTGTTTCTGCACTTGAGTCGGAAAATATATATATATATATATTCACAAGAACATTTTAATGCATATTTAATTTGTTTATTTATGTACAAATCAAACTTATTAAATAAAGGTATGTTTTGTCATTTTGAAGTTTAAAGTTTAAATGCGTTGGATTTTATTTATGAGTTGAGAATCCTTTTATTTCATGATGCAAGTGATGTGATCGTGCATGATTAATTTATTTTGTTAATTCATTATTTTTAGTTGATGCGTTTGATATGCATGTATGATATCAACTCAAGTTATTTCTTAACAATAATTTCAAGTGATTTTGAATGATAATTTGTTATGTCGACTTTGGACATAAGCAGGTTAATTTGAATATTTCTAATCATTTTTGAATGGGTGTTTAAACACCAGAGAAATTTAAACATGAAGATGTATGTAATTATATCGGTCCGTTTAATTGGGAAGTAATTTAAGAAATCTTTTATGTTGATTATTGAATTATGTGACATGAGATGTCATTAATAATTGTTTTACTTGCGTAGTAGAATTTGTTAAACCATGAACCATTTTATTAATATGGGGGTGTATCTCTTGCATTAGTTGAGATAATTTAATTTTCTTCTGTCACAAATATTTTTATGACAGTGACATTTATTTGTTATTGAGTTGCAAGAATGTATACAATCAAATGGGTTTTTGAATTGTTTGATTCTTAGGAAAAAAATTTTATGAGGATATGATTTTGTCAAAACATTAATTCTGACTTGAGTAGTCATAATTATTTTGGTTTTTTTTTTCTTTCTTGAATTTGTTTTAAAATTCATTGATTTATATTAGAAGTGATAGGGGTGGTGAATATGATGCACCATTAAATGTATTTTGTGCACAACATGTCATTATTCACCAAACTACAGCACCCATGTTACTAAGTTCAGGCTTATCACAGAACTTGTGGGGGGAAGCAATTTTTGTCTACTAATTATGTTCTTAATAGAATACCCCACAAGAAAACCAACAGCACTCCTTATGAATTGTGGAAAGGTCGACCACCTTCCTACAAATACTTAAAAGTATGGGGGTGTTTGGCAAAAGTTGAAATATTTGTTCCTAAAAAGACTAAGATTGGACCAAAAACAGTAGACTGTGTGTTTATTGGTTATGCTCAGAATAGTAGTGCATATCGGTTTCTGACTTATAAATCAGAAATACCTGATATAAATGTGAACACTATTATAGAGTCAAGGAATGCTGTATTTTTTGAACATGTCTTTCCTTACAAGAAAGGACAGGAATTAAGTTCACAAAAAAGAACTTATGATTGTACACAAAGTCAAAAGACTAATGACAATCAAACACAAAGAGACTAGTAATAGTCTGACATCAGGATTTAACTGATGATGAACCAACGACAAGTAGAGAGCGAGAACTCAAAATCCTTTGGTCCAGATTTTCTGACATACTTGTTAGAAATAACCAAGCTTTAAGGCAGGCAATGACATGTCCTGAAGCACCTTTGTATGAAAGAGGTGCTTTAATAATAAAATTGAATCCATTATGCAAAATCATACTTGGGAATTGGTGGATCTTCACCAGGTTCTAAACTCTTGGATATAATGGAAATATTCAAGAGAAAAAGAAAGCAGATGGTTCAATTGACAAGTATCAAAGCACGACTTGTAGTTAAAGGTTTACAGACACAAAAAGGTCTGCTTTTTTTGACACATCAAGTTCCCTTGTGACAAGAATAACATCCATTCACGACATGCTTATTCTAAATAGCAGCGTTGTTACATTAGAAATACATCAAATGGATGTTAAGACAGTTTTCTTAAACGGTGATCTAAATGAAGAGATCTATATGGAACAACCCGAAGGGTTTGTAGTATCAGGGCAAGAAAAGAAAGTTTGTCGACTTGTAAAATCCCTTTTGGATTAAAACAAGCACCTAAGCAATGGCATGAAAAATTTGATCATGCAATGCTTACTAATGGGTTTAAGATAAACGAATGTGACAAATGCGTCTATGTTAAAAACACTGACCGAGGATATGTCATAGTTTGCCTTTATGTGGATGACATGCTTATCATTGGAAGCAGTCAAAACATGATCAAATCAACTAAGCAAATACTTAACAAAAGATTTGAGATGAAAGATATGGGGGTCGTAGATGTTATATTAGGAATGAAAATTACTAAAACATCAAACGAATATGCATTATCTCAATCACATTATATTGAGAAAATTCTTGGTAAATTTATCAAGGATGATATGAATTTAGCTAGAACACCTGTAGACGTCAATCTTTACTTATCGAAAAATAAAGGTGATGCAGTGTCTCAGTTAAAATACTCCCAAATCATTGGAAGCCTGATGTACCTAATGAATTGTACTCGTCCTGATATAGCTTATGCTATCAGTAAATTGAGCAGGTACACTAGTAACCCCGGAGAAGACCATTGGAAACCGATCATTCGGGTTCTTAGATATCTAAGACTCACCAGTGATCTTGGTTTGAACTTTACTCGATATCCAGCAGTACTTGAAGGTTATTGTGATGCAAATTGGATATCGGATACTAAAGATTCAAAATCCACAAGTGGATATGTCTTTACTCTAGGAAGCGCTGCTGTTTCTTGGAAATCCACGAAACAAACATGCATCGCACGATCTACAATGGAATCCGAGTTCACTACTTTGGACAAAGCAGGAGAAGAAGCAAAATGACTTCGTCACTTCTTAGAAGACATACCAATGTGGCCAAAACCAGTGCCAGCTATTTCCATTCATTGTGATAGTCAATCTGCAATAGGCAGGGCACAGAATCACATGTATAATGGTAAGTCACGACATATTCGTCGTCGACATAATACCATAAGGCAATTGTTGTCAAACGGAATAATCTCAATAGATTATATAAAATCTAAAGAGAAAATTGCGGATCCATTAACAAAATGTTTGACAAAAGAGCTAGTGTATAGTTCATCGAAGGGGATGGGATTAAAGCCTATTACATAAGAGTCGTCATAATGGTAACCCTACTTATATGACTAGAGATCCCAAGAACTAAGTTCAAAGGGACAACTAAGTTATGTATGGCTCGCCAGAAATCACCAAGGGATTAAAATTCCTACCCATTCCTATGGTGAGAGTGATATCTGCAACATATGTTGTCTGCAGGGGTATAAGGATAAGCTTTGCTTTTAATGATTACTTATATCTTGATTAAGGCATAAAATCAAGATGAGTACAAGGAGATACTCACAATAAGAATCACCTATATGAGTGTTGAACTGGGGCCGGTTCTATGAGAATGAAGAGGCTAAATTCTCTAGAAACACTTATGAAAACCAGGCGCGTTCAAGGCCAAAATGAACACAATAGTGAGAACCACGATGTGTTAGAAGATATTTTGTGTGAAATCTATTGTCTTGGCTTACACAAACGGCTGAACAATTCAAGGCATCGCGTCCATTGGTTAGCCAGTAAATCCGATAGGTTATCACTAGGGAAGGTTCAAGGCCGAAAACTACCTATCCTGATACAAGATATTTTCGACTTATACTCTTTCGATAAATCTGCATATTGTTGCATTTCCGTTGTCATCAAATTCGATTCATGTGGGGGATTGTTGGAAATTGTTATAAATTCTGGGTAAAACAAGAATTTTATCCTAAGTTCGGTCTATTTTTTAGGTGGGCCCCGTCTGTCGATTTTCACGGGTCAAAGTGGTAACGCGTTCTATGCCGCGTTGTGATTCACGTGGTATATTTGGTTGCTCAAAACCACTACCGAGTGAATGGGAAATTGAAGCCAAAATGTGTACCATGGAAATGGAGGTTTGGTGGAAATTCCTTAAAGGTTTGAATAAGGCTTGTCCTACATTGATTTGGTGGGAGGTTTTAAAAGGGTTTATAAGGCATGGGATTGGTACTTGGGGTGTGCCCCAAGGGGTACCCAAGTGTTTTAGAGGGAGAGGTTATGGGCAAAATGGGCTAGACCCATTGGACTCAAAAAACCACCACACACGCGCGCACCGCCGCCGCCGTCCGTCTGTCCGGTCGGGCGGGCTAGGCTGGGCTTGGGCGCGGGTGCGTGGTGTGTGGTGGGCTTGTCCAGCCCAATACTAATCTTTTTGGGTCAAAAACATTTGAATTTAATTTTATTTTTGGTAAAATAAAATCCAGAATTCAAATTAAACTGTTTTGGTTTTTCTATACATCCAAACAAGGCCCTTTCCATATTAAACCGGAAATAATCTGATCCGGATTTACTGTACACCCAAACAAGGCCCTTCCCGTTTTTGTTATCTGTTTGAATTGTAACCCAACAGATTCAAATCTGTTTGAATTCAAAACCAACAGGTATCATACCTATTCAAATCAAAAACCTAGAGCCACCATTCCATCTATAAATAGGACATCCCTCATTTGGATTTTTAGAACTCTAATTTTTGTCCTTCATAATTCTGCAAACATCCTCTTCATTTTGCTGTATTATTCTTGTCAGAGAGAGTATAAACACTTTGTGTGTTCGTTAGACAAACAATTTGTAGTGCTGTTATTGTTTGTAGTAGATCATTTTATCCTGGGAGATAGACGTCCACAATCTGAAAGCATCGTGGAGGGAACGAATCTGTCTTAAGGACACAGTGTCAAACACTGGACTTGATCAGATTATAATTAGAAGAAATTAAATCAAGTAAGTTATTTAATTAATTTTTGTGTTATTGTTATTTATTTAAATCAGGTTTTAATTTTGTTTTTGTAACAAAATAAAATATGTTTTTATTTATTTATTTATTATTTCAAGTTTGATTTTTGTAATCAAACAAATTCTCTCCTTTTCTTTATTTCTTTAAATTCTAATTGTTGTTGTGTACACAATAGAATTAAATCTTTTAAATACAGTGAAGATTGTCCAACACCTTCATCCCGAATGCTGTGAGGTTTCTTTCCTCTTGTTTGAAGATTGTCTCTTCCAACGTTTGCTCCGCTGGAGCCTCCGTCGCCGGTTCTATCTTCGGCGCTCCCGACGACCTCCACAACTCTACTTCTGTAAAATTTTGTCCATCTATACAGATTCTATATCTGATTCTATGAATTAGTTTTTATATTCTTAAACTTATTATTAACACCAGCTCTTCAATAAATTTTTTTAACACCTTTTTTTTCTTCACCTAACAAACTGCCATTATAGCTAAGGGTGTGTTTGTTTGGATGGATTGGATATTATTTCTGGACTATTTGGTTAGATTGGATTGTATCTTATATTTGTTTAGTCATGGATTGGACAATTTTTAATGAATTCAATGTTTGATTGGACGGACTGGATAAGAAAATATTCAAAAAACTATTTTACCTTTATAATTTATAATTTTTATTTAATATATAATTTTAAATTTATAATTTATAATTTAACAATACTAAAAAATTTTCATTTATAAGATTGTAATTTTTAATTTATAATTTATATTTTTTATTTAATATATAATTTTAAATTAACAACACTAAAAAATAATCTTATTTAATATAAAAGACTATTTTTTTAACAACACAAAAAAACAAAATATTATTTTAAAATTTAATACAACCAACTAAATAATCATATTATGTTAATGATTAGAGCATATAATATTCACTTTTTAGGAAAATCAACTCTTTTTGTAATCAAATTCCAAAATAAGACTTGACCACTGCAACAAGACTTTTTTTCCACCTTGAAAACAAAGGTCGCCAATTTAATTTATAATTTATAATTTATATTTTTTATTTAATATATAATTTTAAATTAACAACACTAAAAAAATAATTTATAAATGTTCAAAAGACTATTTTATCTTTTTTTAATTATTTATTAAATAATAGCATGGGTTAAAATGGATATTTCATACATTAGTCATGAGATACCAATTTCATGGAAATGAAAATAGTCTCACCGTTCCTTCCAGATACAATAATTCCTCGTATGAGGGACTAATAGTCCAGAGGAATAATAGTCCGGAATTAAAAAATTGAACTAAACAATAGACTCCGAATCCCATAAAATAATCCCTCAGCACAAACATGTTCTAAGTGGGACTCACTTGAACTCATGAATGTTTGATTCTCGCATTTCTTATTCCCTACTTTTTTCAGAATTCAAATTCCAAGTACTTGCAATTCAATTCATTAAAAACCTTGCTCGACATCGAAATAATTAAGTATTGATTTTTTTTTAAAAAAAAAAAAAAATTCTGATTGTAGTTGTGTTTTTAATTTTGATGTTATCATTGTTTGATTGCGTGGTTTTAGTTGATAGTAGTTGAGTTTGGATTTTGATTTTGGTTTATTGGTTTCTAGGAAATTAAAAATAAAATAAAATGTAACGCCCTCAAAATAAATCTATAAATCATGCATTCACGACATCCATAAATGTAAGAGAAATAAACATATTTCTATTCATCAGAGTGTTTAATCCAAAAGTATTACATGTTGACAACAAAAGTAAATGCCCCACGGGCTTACAACTTTCCAAACCAACACTTGGTTACAAAAAAAAAAGAGTACTAACTTTACACAAAATAAGTACTTGGCTTAATATATATGTAATACACAAAAATAAACAAAAGAGTCTACAACTCCCACAATCATCCAAACTATGACCTCGGAGGCGGCATACTACCTGAACTTGAAAATGATGTCCCATATAGGGTGAACCAACGCCCAGTAGAGATATGCTAAACATGATATGAGAAATAACTAAAACATTAGCATTTAATAAATGTTTAGCTTACATAAATCAATTCATAACACATTTCAATTACACGACAAATGTGTCCATGTTTCATTCCATTTTCCATTTCTTATCCAATTTCTCAATTCATAACCTTAGCTCAGAACCTGGCCATATACTTTAAGTGAGATTACATCTCATATCAATAATTTTTCCATTTCAATTGAGATAACAACTCAAATTAAACATATCATACTTCACACTAGATACACATAATTGCTGTATTAATCTCAAACAAAACACTTCCGTACTTCATATATGATACACAGATTTGCTGTATCAATACTTTAATAGATACACATAATTTTTTATCGATGGAGTCCATCCCCTATCTCCTCCCAAACAGTATCCGGTTTAGGAGTCCATCCCCTATCTTCCCCTAAACCATGGAATATATCCCATATCTCCTCCCATACAACACAATGTATATAAACACATATCATACACATTATCAATCAATACATGAATTTGATGTATTATTCCAACCGTCATATTCGATGACACATTCAATTGATTAGTTTTAGTTCGCCTAATCATCATGCATTGTCTACAACAATCAAGACTATCCTATACCGATAGCAGTTATTTCTAAACAGATAATAAATGCCTCAACAGATATATATAATTCCAACATTTTCAAAGTGAGCGATTAATAAATCCAACTCCACCATTCTACCTCATAATAAGCCAATTTCATTATTTCCAACTCAATTTCATATTTTCATAATTATTGTCATTAATTACACTAATGATCCAAATATACCAAAACATGGCATTTTCCCCCTTTTTCACAATATTGACCCAAAGGTTCAAATATTACTAACAACAACAATAACCTCCTTTTTAGACCCAAAACACATAAGTTTGAATCAAAAGAACAAAACCCTACTTTCCAATATACACATTACAAACCCCAACTTCCCAAACCAAACCATTTATACAAAAAGCTCCGCATTTAGGTTAAAGATCATAAAGATGAATAGGAATCCCTACCTCAAGAGATGAGACCCAACGGAGAATGTGAGAAACTCGAATATGTTCCAAATCTAAAGATTTTCAGATTGATAGGAAGCCCACACCAAGCTCTACACTTTTTGTAAAGGCTCAAGGATAGGAGATCACTCTAACTAGATCAAACCCTAGAGAGAAGGTGAAATGTAGAGAGAGAAGCTCTCAAAATGTGTTTTTGAAAAGTAAAAGAGAGAGAGAGAGTGTGTGTGTGTGTGTGTAGAAAGTGATCCAAAAAGACCCAATTGCCAACTGATACACGACTAGTCTGCTCGAGTGGAGAATAGGACCCTCGAGCGTCAAGCACAAAAAACTGAACCCGCTCGAGCGCCAAGACACAACTGCAAAACGCACCCGCTCGAGTCCGAAAGAAAAGCCGCTCGAGCGCGAAAGAAAACCCGCTCGAGTGTAGATTACACTCCTCTAGTACTTTTACAGACATTGAACACCCACTGGAGCGCCAAGAGGCCCGCTCGAGCGCCACCCGCTCGAGAGTAAGGAAATCCGCTCGAGTGTGAAAAACGCACCTGCAGAAGTTTTGCAGGGGCACAAAATGCTGAAAGTGTGTAAACTCCGTTCGAGCGCAAATGGACCAACTCGAGCGGACCACCAAAAATCTGGGCAACAAGTGATGGGGCTAAATCTCAACCAACCTGTTTGAAACACCCCCAACACATCCTAAAACTCAAATATAAGGAATTAAAGGATGACAACAAGACATATACAACAACTAACTCCACGGAACAAAAGTCCGGAATACTATTAAACAATGAAGGGAAAACCGGGATCGCTATAACCTTCCCCTCTTAAAGAATTTCATCCCCGAAATTAGGTACAAGTTTTTCAAAAACAAGATTTTCTAATTCTCAACAGTATTACAACTCAATATTCAACAACCTGACCCATTACCGGTCATTCCATCTCTATTCAAGAGACATTTCACAATATGTACTCAATATGCATTATAAGCATGCTTTCCCTTGAAATTTACCAATTTAAACACATATTTCACAATTCTATATCATATTCAATGTTCATGATATATTTTCATTTCTACGATACATTCAAGATATGCAATGTTACATTAAACTTCCATTTCAAGGCAAGTATCAAAATACTTCCATAAATCAAAACATATACGATGTTTTACAACTCAAGACATATTTAATGCTCTTAAAGTTCATCAATATTACAAAATCCCAATACATGGTTAAAAACAAGTCCGGATATTTCTCACGGACGCCCACCTCACGTTCCCAAGTGGCTTCCTCCACTCCGTGATGTTTCCACAAAACCTTTACCAACGGAATGGTCTTGCCTCGCAAGACTTGATCCCGCCTATCCAAGACCCGAACCGGTCTCTCCTCATACGAGATATCCTCGTCAACCTCCAAATCGGTCCAATCCAACACATGGGACGTATCCGGCTCGTACTTCCGAAGCATACTAACATGAAACACGCCATGCACTCGGGACAACTGCGGCAGCAAAGCCAAGCGATAGACAACCTCGCCAATCCTCTCAAGGATCTCAAAAGGACCACTAAACCGAGGGGACAACTTCCCACTCTTCCCAAATCTCATCAAACCCCGCCTAGGTGATATTTGTAGAAAAACATGATCACCCATCTCAAATGTCAAAGGCCTCCTCCTATGGTCGGCATAACTCTTTTAGCGACTTTGGGCTTTAACAAGCCTCCTATGGATAAGCTCAACTTTCGCCGTCGTTTCCCTCACCAACTCCAGACCCAACAAAGGTGCATCACCCACCTCGGCCCAACAAACGGGAGACCTACAAGGTCGGCCATACAAGGCCTCAAATGGTGCCATACCGATACTCGACTGAAAACTGTTGTTGTAGGCAAACTCCACCAAGGGCAAGTGCCTCTCCCACGTCCCACTAAAATCAAGGACGCAACCTCAAAGCATATCCTCAAGGATTTGAATAGTACGCTCAGACTGCCCGTCAGTCTGAGGATGATAAGCCGTGCTAAAGGTCAATCTAGTGCCCAAAGCACTCTGCAAACTCTGCCACAACCTAGCAGTAAAATGAGGATCTCTATCAGAGATGATTGACACTGGGACCCCGTGCAACCTCACTATGTCCCAAGTATACAAGTCGGCAAGATGATCTACCGAATCTCTCACGCGCATAGGGATAAAGTGTGCTGACTTAGTCAACCGGTCTACAACCACCCAAATAGCATCACTACCCCGCTGAGTCCTCGGAAGACCTACAACGAAGTCCATAGTGACATGCTCCCACTTCCATTCGG